TGCTAATGCTGCTAACACACAGAGAGAACAGAAAACCAGCAGTTCATCAGCAGCAGGAAACAACTTCCTAATCAGACCTGCTGCTTCATCAGGTAAACAAACAGACAAACAAACAAACCAGCAGCTTCTTTACCTTTGAATAAATCTTCATGTTGCTTTAAAATCCAATTCGAGTCCCTTTTTCTGTTTTGTTCCAGTAAAATTGAATTTGTTTGCAGGTTTTCTCYCCTGACTGAGTAAACCCAGGTTGATGAACACCTGCTCGGTGTGCTGCGTTCAGGTGCAACAGASAGGGTGGGGAAAGGGAGCTTCAACTTCAGCATTCAGGTTTCTCACAGATGGTCACTTTTATTTCAGTGTTTGTCAAAAATAAAACATTTGCAGATTAATAATCTATTGGGGGTTATTATAATCTAACAATGTTGGTCTTTATTGACCTGCAGAGCCAATCAGAGTGAAGCGCTCTGTAATTTTGATCGGTAAAAAGAACAGAGGCCAATTTTTTTTGTCTTAAAGTGTAAACACTTTAATGTAGGTTTTTTTAACGGTTTCCTAAATTTTCTTGTGATGGATTTTAGTCGAGCTAAAACTTAGTGGTTGCTGAGAGTTAATAATCAAGCATGGTGTCTTGTTTTAATGTGATTTTTTATTAAAAAAAATAAAAACAGATCCGACAGCAGTGATCAGAGAAAGATTTTTATTTTATTTCAGCAGCATTGAACATCTCAGCCAATAACAGAACAGATGAGCTGCAGATGGCCTCATCAACCAATTAAAATCAAGCATTTGTTACTGCTAAGGCTTTGTTTAGCTTCAGTCAGGTCAGAGGTCAGAAGAGCAAACAGAGTTTAAATTTCAACCAATCAGAGCGGAGCTGACAGTGGCTCTGATGATCCAAGCATCAGTTTGATGTTTGGAAACAGAAAAGTCAAACTTCAATGCTGCATTCATGTCCTTTGGGAAAATAAAGGATTATTTAGACCACCGAGTTTCTGTACTTTGTGTTAAACTGCTAAAAACTACATTAAATGAGTATTTCTGCCGATCTTCTGATTTGATTTTCATATTAAGAGGTTTYAAACTTTCACTTCTGTTTTTCTTTTCAGTAAACAGCAAATAAAAGCTCAAAAGACTGAGAAAGTTTCTGCATATTTGTCATTTTATGTTTACAGGATTCTAAATCAGTCATCAAACGAGAAGAAATTCAAATTGAGAGAAAAAGGTTTTTACTCTGTGACATGAAAACAGCATTTACACAAAAAAAACCTGCAGTCGAGCTTCGTCTCGTTTTATTAAAGTGCTTTTTAAGATTGAGATGCTTTTTTTTCTTTTTTTTTTACAGTTTGTCACATAAATAAGATTTTAAAGAAGTGAAAAGTCAAACATCTCTGCAGTTATTGCACAAAATTAAAGTGACGGGAATGGGCAGGATGCTTTCCTTTCTTTCAAGTTTTCAAAATAAAAGCATTTCCACAGAAGACGACATACAGAGAACATKTATCCAACAGACAAAGGAGTGAAAACATGGAAATGCAATAAAAAAWTTTACTTAAATTACAGTGAAAAACGTGGACTGGTCAATAATAAAGTTATTTTTAATCCAGAAACTGAACTTGCATTAAATTTTYCATAAAGCCCAAAACAATAATCTGTGACGTGCATCTCAACATCAGATAAAACTTCAAAAACACAGACTCYAACGTGTTTTTAAAAATGCATTAGATGAAGTTTTGCCGATAATCGTGCTGAGAATGAAAAATAAATCAGAAAAACTACTTCTGGATCAATACCAGCCGACAGGTTCAGGCAGATCTGAGAAAAGATAAAGAGCCACAGAATTATCGTCRGTGAAAACACGCAGAAGTCGTCGTGGAGTTTTTACGAGATGTTTTTGTGAAAAATATTCAAATTAATATGTAAGAAATGGAAGATCGGTCGTTTACAAACATGGTTGTTGACAAACAGGAAGTTAAAGCGACAACATGGCTTCTCGGGGGCGACTCAGGTGTTTGGTTTCCATCTTAGCTGCTAGCTTTAATTAGCCCACAGATTAGCTGGTGTTTCTCAGCTCTGGGATTAAAACAGCTTCACGTTTAATCTTTAGTTTGTGAGAAATTTCACCTGTTAAATCCAGACTAAGCTTCCGCTGAGAAACCGCTAATCTGCTTTAATTTTACTCCCAGATCCCCATCCCGGTCTGATAGAACCTGCTGAGAACCAGGACTAAAACTTTTTATGCTTTGATCGTGATCCTGAGGTTACGTAATCTGGGTTTTTACTGCGAGCATTAAAAAAAACTGTTTTTAACTCGCACAAACACAAGCTTCAATTTAGTCTCAGTAAACTTTGTATAAGTGTTTATTTCATTTTTTTTGTGGTTATTTTATACTAAAAACAGCTTCCTCACCAAMCAGTGTTACTGAGTGTTTAAGAAAACAAATGCACTRCAAAAAACTGTCCATCTTACAAAGTTTTAAAATCTTATATCAGCCAAAAAGTCTTTCTGATCTTGTTTTGAGACTGATTTACTAAACAAGAACTGATTGTGTAAGAATAATCATCTTGTTTTCAGAATGTGTAAGATTATTTGTCTTGTTAGTCTGAAAATTTGACTCTAATTAAGTAAAAAATTTCTGCCAGTGGAGTAAGAAAATTTTACTTAGTAAGATTCTTGAAATAAGAAAAAAAATGAGTCAAATCATGTATTTCAAGAATTTTACTAAGTAAATTTTTCTGACTCCATCGGAAGAAATGTTTGACTTAATTTGAGTCAAATTTTCAGACTAACAAGACAAATAATCTTACACATTCTGAAAACAAGATGATTATTCTTACACAATCAGTTCTTGTTTAGTAAATCAGTCTCAAAACAAGATCAGAAAGACTTTTTGGCTGATATAAGGTTTTAAAACTTGGTTAGATGGACAGTTTTTGCAGTGGGATGTGCGGTAAAACCACTCGGCTGCTGCGGWCCTGTGTTGCAGTGGCACCATCTTCAGCCACAACACCTGGTCAGAACCTGCTGCTTCACATCTGGATAAATATAAAAATCACAGCTGAGGTTTGTTTAGAAGGAAAAAAAAAGTGAACTTTAAACCTTTGTTTGAAATTTTCGATGAAAAACAAACTTCTCGCCGCAGCGAACAAACCGTTCAAATCAGCTTCAAGTAAATTCACGAGGTGAAATGAGAAGCCAGTTGTAGAACCAGGAGCAGAAACGTTCAGCTTTAAGCACATGTTTTCTTTTYGAAGCGCCAGCACGTGTGTGATTTTGTTTGTTAGAGATTGTCTGCAGTCACTCAGCCTCCTCAGCTGCGTAACGAAGCGAAGCTGCTTTTCATATGTAGCCCCTCCCCGTCGTCTCAGATGTGGGTTCGATGTGTTGTAACGCCGTTGCATATTTTAGCTCGTATAGTGCCGTTTCRTGTAAAAGCAAGCGGAGCCGACGGGTCGGCCCGGGTACAAATGAGGGGATATTTTCACCGCTCAGGGGGTTGATGCATCAGCGGAGAGAAAATGTCACAGCGGTTCATTTATCTGAGAAACGAATAAAAAAAATAAAAAAAAATCCAGGTGAGCGAATTCTCCTCAACTTAACAAAATGTTACGACCCTCCCAGGAAACAGGAAACGTGTCCTGGGTTCAGATTACCGAATGAAGTGTGACGTCTGGCTCCAAATGTCAGGTTTTATTCTAGTGAGCAGTCAGGATTAAATTATTCTGCTTTCACTCGACTCCTGCAAAGATTCAAGTCGTCGGTCCAGAAAGTCAGCTGATCTCCTTCAACAGCTTCAAACTGGTAAAAACATTTAACTCTACACTGCAAAAAACTGTCCTCCTAACCAAGTTTTAAAATCTTATATCAGCCAAAAAGTCTTATTGATCTTGTTTTGAGAC